TCTGTGTCTCTCTCTGTGTCTCTCTCTGTGTCTCTCTCTGTCTCTCTCTGTGTCTCTCTGTGTCTCTCTGTGTGTGTGTGTGTGTGTGTTCAGCTCAGGCCGCCGGTCCTGGATCTCAGCAGAGCTCTCCTCCAGACTATAGCGCCGCCTGGGTGGAGTATTACAGACAGCAGGGGGCGTATTATGGCCAGGGACAGACGCAGGCTCCTGGCCTCCCGGTAATAAACACACTCCACCAACACCATCACCTTTATAGATATATATCATATAATGATATCAACATACAATACCGCTCAAAAGTGTGCAAGAATTGAGATGTTTTTGGAAAAAAGTCTCTTCTGTTCACCAAGGCTGCATTTATTTGATCAAAAATACCGTAAAAATTATGAAATATTTTTAAGATTTAAAACAGCTGTGTTCTGTGTGAATCTCTGTTAAACTGTAATGTATTTCTGTGATGCGCAGCTGTATTTTCAGCATCATTCCTCCAGTCTTCAGTGTCACATGATCTTCAGAAATCAGTATAATATGCTGATCTGCTGCTCGAGAAACATTATTTTTGAAAACACTTAAAAAAAAAAAAAAAAGTATTAATTTCTTCTTTTTTTTGAAGGACGCTTTGAATTGATCAAAAGTGACAGTAAGGACATTTACAATTTTGCAAAACATTTCTATTTCAAATAAACGCTGTTCTTTTGAGCTTTCTGTTCATCTGTGAATCCTGAAAAATAAAATGCATCACAGTTTCCACAAAAATATTGTGCAGCACGACATTTTAACATTGATAATAATCAGAAATGTTTCTGGAGCAGCAGATCAGCATATTATACTGATTTCTGAAGATCATGTGACACTGAAGACTGGAGGAATGATGCTGAAAATACAGCTGCACATCACAGAAATACATTACAGTTTAACATATAATCACACAGAAAACAGCTGTTTTACTTTCGAATAATATTTCACAATTTTTACTGTATTTGAGCAAATAAATGCAGCTTTTGTTCTCTTGCAAAAGCATTCCTGGGAAACCTTTCATTCACCTGCAAAGGAACTGAAAAGTTTCACCATGTCCCTTTAAGGGGCTCCGTAGAAGAGACTTCTTTGGAAACCATGAAAACTAATAATTGTAATTTTTAGTTTGTGGACTCTCACGCTGTGATTTTTCTCCTCTCGT